GTTGGATGGGGGCTCCAGGAGAGCTCAAGTTTCCACATGTAAAACCCACACTCTGACTCTGGTCCCAGAGCACATCTTAACCTTTCAGCATCCTTGTACCATAGGCTTACCCTATAGATGGTGCAGTGACTGCAGGATGTATACAACTTTGTCTCCATACAGCCTCCACAGCTCACCAGCAATGCAGGAACAAAGCATAGGCACCAAAGCCAGCTGTGCCCGCACGGCTCTCCGCACTGGGTTGTGTACAGGAGTAGTGCTGGGCAGCACCCTGGCATTGCAGGGGAATGCAGCACTCCTGGGATGAGCCCGCACACCTCGCTGTGGAAAGAAGGGACACCCAGGACAGGACACACCACGTCCAAGGAGTTGTCTTCTCCAGGCTACAAGAGCAGGCTCCTGGTTTCAGCGACAAGGATGAGGGCTAGCCCCAGTGCAGAGCAGCTTCTGCCCTGGTTAGGCAAGGAAATGAGACCTGTGGTTTTGGTTTGCCACCCTCCTGGGCTCAGGGAAGCCTATAGCCATACCTCCTGGTCCTAATGGGGACACCAGTGCGGTGGGAGGTGGTTCTGCTCCTCAAGGTGGCAGAAATCCCACCGGTGCTACTTTAACGAGAATGAAACGGCAAGCTGCTGACTCATCACTGGTATTAAATATTTTAAAACAATTGACTGTGTGAGCTAATCCTGCTATATTACACGTGGGAAAACTGAAGGTATGCGAGCATACAGCAGCTACGCATTTGAACTTACCAGCCCCTGCATCAGGCAAAGAACAGAAAGTACAAGAGTTCATCTCCTGAAGCCCTAGAGTTTGTTATTATTGCTGGGTTTTAATGTTCTCTGTGGTCATATAATGGCCTAAATGTTCAAAAGTGACTAGAAATGTTTGAAGTCCCATCGCTTCAGTACTCATCGTGAAAATTCTTCATATGGGCTGGTTTTCAAAAAAGCACTGAGGTGTGTCTTCAGCATTGGATCAAAGAGGAATGCTTCAGTCTGAGTACCATAATGTTAATTCACCCTAAAACACCAGTAATGCCTGCACTTTTAATTTGTAGTTCATCTGTTCATGAACCCAGGTATGTATAAAAGAAGGCACTATCTAAATTCACTGCTGTGAATTCACTGCACACTGCTCCACCCTGAGACATGCAACACGGCAGGCTGGGAGACGTTGATGCTGAGGGCTGCCATGATAAGCAGGAGCTGGATAAGCTGCTCTCTGAAAACAAAACACAGACACAGGTCAACCTGCCATTTGAAAAGGAGGAAGATGGTAAAATCCTGGGAAACAGATTTAAATGGAATTGATCCATCTCAAGCCTCTTATTCAGGCTATGAGCTCAGGTCTCTGGGTTTGTTTCCAAAGGAGATCCCCAGCAAAAGGATGGGTATGGTGAGTGTAGATCACAAGCCTTTATATATACTGATGTTTTTCCCTTCCCTTCCCTTCCCTTCCCTTCCCTTCCCTTCCCTTCCCTTCCCTTCCCTTCCCTTCCCTTCCCTTCCCTTCCCTTCCCTTCCCTTCCCTTCCCTTCCCTTCCCTTCCCTTCCCTTCCCTTCCCTTCCCTTCCCTTCCCTTCCCTTCCCTTCCCTTCCCTTCCCTTCCCTTCCCTTCCCTTCCCTTCCCTTCCCTTCCCTTCCCTTCCCTTCCCTTCCCTTCCCTTCCCTTCCCTTCCCTTCCCTTCCCTTCCCTTCCCTTCCCTTCCCTTCCCTTCCCTTCCCTTTTTTTCTTCTTCTTAAATCATGACCATGCAAGAGGACTGCAGCTTTGCTTGTAAAAGGGAAGGAGACAGATGGCTTTTATTAATTTCAACACCAGCTTAGCTGAAATGGATGCAAGAACTAGAGAAAGGCTTGAAGTATTCTTTGAGAGGTTTCCCCTTTGAGGATGAAGCTTAACAATTAGCAGGGTTGTGGCTTTCACATTTTAGGCAGAGATTTTCAGGAGTATTTAATGGACTTTAGGAGCCAAGCCTTTCAATCTCCTGGATACTAGGCAAGAGAGCTCATTTAACCTCCCCTGTCCAGGTGCAAGTAAGAGAGCAAATACAGGCTGGAATAGCGCCTGTTGCATTCCTCTTAGGCAACATGAAGACAGCAATAAATAAAAGTCCTATGCTAATGAATCATTTCTTCCAGAATTAAGATTTGCTCACTTCTGATTCTGTATCAAGTATGAGTCATCATGACTAAGGCATATATGCTTGTCTGTGTGCCTGAAATAACACTCCTCAGAGAGGAGCTGCTGGAGTCACAGCCCGTCTCAGCATCTCCCCGCCCTGGGGCACACTGAGCCTTGCAGGATTTGATGTTGCTGCAGTTCAGAGTTCATTACCTGGACATGTGCAGAAAGAGACATGAGCTGGGCAGGTAGTCTGACGTGCCTAGGCACTCACCAACCTCTGGTGGGGGCATTCATTTGCTACTGAATCAGGTCTGAGCTCTTACCACTTTGCAGGGTTGGTCACTGTCAACACCGTGAGAAAGCTCACCTGGAAATGCTCATGAGGGTACAGAATCACAGAATGGTTGAGGTTCAACAAAAAATGCAAATTCCTGCACGTGGGACAGGACAGCCCTTACATCAGTACTGTCTGGGACTGAATGGCTGGAGAGCAATTTTTCAGAAAGGGTCTGGTGGACAGCACGCAGGTGGGACGTGAGCCCTCAGTGTGCCCTTGCAGCAAGTTAGACAATTACATATTGGGCAGCATTCCTGAGAGTGAAAACACCATGTCAAGGAAGAGATTTTTCCCTTTAATCAGCAAGTGGGTGACTGCACCTGGAGTACTTTGGCCAGTTATGGATCCTTCTATAAAAGCAAAAGTAACATTGCTGAACTGGGGCAAATCCAGGTGAGACTACTTGGACGGTCAGGTGGCTGGAGCTCAGGACATACAAAGAAAGGCTGAAGCAACTGGGTTCGTGTAGCCAGGAGAAGAAAAGGCAAAAGCAGTTTCTAATTATGTCTTCTAATACTTGGAAGAGATTACAGAAAAAATAGAGCCAGTTTCATCAGAGATGAAAACACAAGAAGCTGTGGGTGAAAGTTGAAGTAGGGGAGAATTCACCTGGACAATAAAGGAAAAATTCTTCCTCATGGAGGGCAGAACATAAGTCACTGGAAATTTTAAAAACTCCATGGGACAAGGGCCTGAGAATCTTGATCTAAGCAGACATTAAGATTTTGAGCCATTTCACTGGAGTCTATAAATTTGTTTGCGCAGGCACATTTAACATACTGGGGAAGAAGAAATAAAGGAAAACAGTTCTCAACAAAATGTGTATGGAGCCAACCCCTCATTCAGAACCTCACAAATATGACCCCTCATACTGCCACTGACCTGCAGGGAGTCTGTCTGCTTCAGGGACCCGTGGCACCATCATCCCAATTCCCACGTGTACTAATGAGTAGGCACAGCTTTCCAAAAGAAGCTCTTTATTAGGTTTCAAGTGTAGGGTAAATTTGGGCTGTTGCATACTTTGACTATAGTATGCTGGATATACCCAGTGCTTGTTCATCAGACTGGAAGCATGTTTACTTTTAAGGATATTATAGGTATAAATCATAAAAATTTTGTTTTCCATTTTAACTTTTTATTCTGAACAATCAAGATCAATAACTGCTTCAATACAACACTTCTCATGTACCCACCACCACTGATGAGTTCTCAGAGGCTCTTAATTCCTCAAATGACTTATTTCCTTGCATAAAGTAACCAAAGGTATTAGATAGGTCATTAAAATAATTTATAACACCATGGGCATTATAAATTTTACTAGGTAGGACATTCTTTGCAGAACCAGCTACTCAAAGTCCACTGCACAATATTCCTTCCTGCTGAAGTGCATGTGAAACACGGAGACAGGAGGGTGGGGAGAGTGAGTGCACATCTGTATGGCTTTGTAACAGTCATCACAGCTTCATGATTTGAGAGTATCTGTGGTGTACCATTAAAGCAAGCCATTTGGCAGCCACTCTGTTAGGAAGTGTTGGGTAGATGCTGATGGGGTGGCACCAGGCTGCCCTGAGCCATTCACCAGGCTTTTCTCCGTTAGCTGGGGAAATCTGCCTGTCTCCCCAAGGCTGCCTGAGCACAGGAACAGCTGTGACTCTCGTGGAATGTTTTTTGTCCTTTGGTTCTTCTCCAGATACAGGGATCAAGTGCAGGATTGTCCAGTGGTTAGCCTGGACAGCCCCAGACACATCATTTGCATGTGTTTTTCTCTCTTTTACTATTTTTGACCCTCCTTTTCATGACCTTTGACTCTATCTTTCTCCACTCCAGTCTTCTCTCAGATAAACAACATGCCTCTAATTACTTTTTCTCTACTGGCTTCATTTCTGCTACATCGCTATCCAAATTTGATATTTCTGATAACATTATGTAAGTCATCCTGACCTTATATGGTATTACTGATGAGGTTACCTAGGAGCTGCTTGGCAGGTAAGACTATAGTCCCCAAGGTAGACTTGAGCGTCCATGAAAGAAGAGTGGGCAAATATCCATCCAAGACTTGCTGTCACCCACATTTAGGTAGGGTACAGAAGCATTTAAGACTTGTGCTTTACTTGGTTCCCAAAGGCTCCATAACTGGTACTTAGGTTTAACCAGATGTTGAATTATTTCCTAGACTGGGGTTTAATTCTTGATTACAGTACTCATTAGAAACACTTGAGTAAGTTATGTTACCACCTCTGTGTCCAAGAGAAAAAAAAAAAAAAAAGTCTTTCATATTTATGTTTTTCTAGAGCGTGAGCATCTTCAGTGTGCAGTGGAAATACAACACACCATGGAGTAGAGAGAATATTATGATAAATCATAGAATAAAAGATCATGGACTATGTTTTAAAGTTACATAGCTAATGAATTCAGTATGATTATTAATTGCTTCTATCTTCACCTGGAAGTATACTGTCAAGGGGTAAAAATGGACTATGCAGCATAATTACTTCATCGCACTAGTTTATGGGGAGCAGTTAGTGAAGGCACTTTATGTGCTGTGATGGAGAAACTCTTTCTTGACATGAAGACCTTGATGACCTTGACGTATCTGTTTAGTTTTTATGCTGTAGATGATGGGGCTTAGCAAAGGGGGGACCAGAAGGTAGATATTGGCCATGAGGACATGAACAAGAGGAGAAGCGTGTTTGCCGAAACAGTGAACCATGGACAAGACAACCATGGGGATGTGCAGGATCAGGACAGCCAGGATATGGGACAATCAATTGTTCAAAGCCTTGAGATATTCTCTCTGGGATGCAATGCTCAAAATTTTCTTACAAATCATAATATGTGATGAAACAATAAGCAATGGATCTAGTACAATTTTGAGGATTACCACGGCTAACCTATACATGCTATTGAATGTGATGTCTGCACACACCAGCTTGATCAGGTCCTGATGCAGACAGTAGGCATGGGAGCACACGTGGGATCGGCAGGACAACCTTCTCAGCACGAAGATTGATGACAGCACTCCTAACAGACACCTGCAGAGGGCAGCCAGCCCAATCCTGCTGATCCTGGCAATGGTGAGGATTGAGGAGTATCTCAATGGGTAGCAGATGCCCACACGGTGATCAAAGGCTATGGCCAGGAGCAATGAGGACTCTAAGAATGAGAAGGAATGAATGAAGTAACCCTGAACAAAATAAGCATCCAAACTGGTTTTCCTGTAGTTGACCCAGAAAATACTCATGACAGGAAGCAGAGACAAACCCAAATCAGAGATGACCAGCATGGCCAGGAAACAGTACCTGGGCTTGTGGAGGCTCGGATCAGTGCTGATGACAGAGGATGGTGCAGTTCCCCACAAGGAATGCGACGTAAAGGCAAGTGAAGGGATGGAGAGCCAGACACAAGCAGCCTCCAGAAGTGGGATGTCTGTCAGGATGAATGCAGAACAGCACGTGTTGGAGCTGCTGGATGACCACATGATGGGCCTGGGAGCCTCTGCATTGAAATAAGAAACCCTCAAAAAAACCTTTGGGTTGGAAGGGACCTTAAAGATCATCTAATCCCAACCTCCCCACCACCTACCACTAGACCACCTTGCTCAGGGTGTACTGCCCACTGACCAGAAAACACACATACCTGTAGTTATACATGTAAATGATGTAATTTCATAAATCACCCATGTTCATAGCAGTGATTAATAAATGTGCTGCTGATTATTTTTTCCCTTTTCTTTTATGGCTATGGAATAAAATATCAATAAAAGAGAGATAAATTTACACCAAAGCATCAAGCAATTTGGAAATTTATCATCCATCTCAATATGTTAGAAGTTCCCAACATTATTTTTATTTTCTATTTTCTATTTTTATTATTATTATTTTTTTAACTATGGTTGATTTAAAGTCATAAATATTGAATAAATCACGTGTTCATCCAGCAGTGAGCTAGACTTTCCTACCTGCTGTAACAGATTTTGTCTTGGGAGGTGAATTACAGTATCCAGGATGTTTGATTTTTTTTTTTTTCTTTCCAAATGGAAATATGACTAGTTATCCAACAAAGCTTGTAATTGTTCATCTAACAAATAAGAAATTAATAATGACTTCAGAAAATTTAAAATATAAATTCAATACCAATTTTACCTGAGGTATCAGCCCAGAAAAGGAGTTTTCAGAGAAAGAGATGAGCAGGAATAAATCTTGTGCCTGTGCAGAGTGTCCCAGATTATAAACATGGGAATAGCCTGGACAGGGCAGCCAGTGCTTGTGTGCAAGGCAGGGAACCAGAGATGCAATGCGTGCTGCTGAATGTCTTCTGAACAGAAATCCTTGAGTCCCTGCGTAAAAAGTCACTACTGCAAATGAGAGATCTTTCTAGGGACTTTGAGGCCCTGAAACTTCAGGAATAGCACTGACATGAAACAAACCTTGCACGGCTATATTAAAAAAAAAAAAGTGTTTTTTTCTTATTCTCTGGTGAAACAAATCTTTCACTGAAGGAATTATTTAGTTTAGAATGTGTGATGGGTAAAAGAAAAGCTGAATTAATCTAAAAATTGTCCACCAGTCTGTGCATGGTCGACAGAGATGACTCTTCAATATAACCCACAAGCACAACGTGACCTGGAAACTGGAAACTGAAGTTACACGGAAATTGGACTGAAATGAGATAATGCTAGTTAGCAAAATCTGAAAATAAAAATGGACATTGATGAATCCTTCATCTTTTGGAATCGTAAAGCTAGGAACAGAAATTCTTCTGAGATGCATGCTTAATCTGAAGCCCACATGATGGGCTTGATGAGTAAATTTGGTATGAAATTCTTCTGTGAGGCGATGCAGTATGACAGAAGAAAGCACCACTGTGAACCTTTCTGATCTAATATTTTCTAACTCTTCTGTAACTATGGGAAAAAAGCCCACATGAATTAACATATTAATTAGAACAAAGAAAAGAGATTAAACGCTATTTCCTAACTTTACCCTTGAGTACCATGCAGCTACACCTCTAAGCATCACAGCCAGGCTCCGTAAGTGCCATTTGAGCAAACCTCATGGCAATGCTCCTGCCCTTCATATTTCAGAAACTCACCCAGGTCTGCTGCTGAGGCTCAGTTTTGACAGCAGCGAGGAAGCCTGAGCCAGGCTCAGCCTACAAAGAGCTGCTTATGAGGTCTCTGAACTGCCCCCAGGGACATCAAATGAAAGTACCTGGGGGAACAGGCAGAAACAATAGGGAATCAGAGCCAAACCTGCCTTCAGTTCTAGCTGAATCAAATTCAGCCTGGCAGCAACGTCCACAAGGATTAGGGATCAAGTGCCCCCTGTGCAAGGAGCTGTGCAGACTCTCATCAGAAACTTCCTTCTCTGGGTTGTTTTCTTGCAACCCAAGGCAGTGTTCGGTGTAAATAAGCCCCTGAGTCCTGGCTTCGCCTCTGCATGTACGGAAAGATTGCTGCTGTCTGCTGGGTGACGCCAAGTAGCAGGTCCAGGACCTGCTAGAACCATTGTGCGGGAGTGGGGTGGGCAACCTGGGGTGGGCAGAGCCAGGACCAGTCCCACCAGCTCCTAGATGTCCATGGCCATGGCATTAAAGCTCATTCATGTGCTGTGGCTAGCTGAGACCGATGTGTTTATCTGCTCCAGTCACCTGCAAGCCAGCTGTGCACCAGCTGCAAGAGTGGTACAGGGTGCATACAAACGCTTTATGTGTCTCCTCTTTGCTTCTGTGTGTCCTCAGGCTCCACCGTCCCCAGGGCTTTCCTCACACTTTCTTTCTGCTGCATTGAGGCCTCCTTGCTGAAGCTCTGTTTTTGGGAATGTATTTTCCTGTAACAACTGTGAAGTCCAAAATGGGGTAACCCTTCCTCAGAAGGGATCTGCATGGTGTGCTGTGGGCTGACCAGAGGTGCACTTGATGCTGCTCCGCTCAGGATTCCCAGCACCAGAAGGGATGTTAGATCATGTACTAGGGTCATCTCACTGCGATGGCTCTGATAAATGGCATTCTAAATGACACTTCACAGGGTCTGAGCACCTTTCTCACTGGGGCTACCACAGACCAGCTGGGAGGATGCAGTGGCTGGGAGCCTGCATCGCCCACCCCAGGCCGCCCACCTTTCAAGCTCCACGGATCCCCCCAGCCTGGTGTCCTGTCTCCTTGTCACATGCTTGGTGGTCCTCCACGGGGCTGGACCCCCTGTAAGCTCTGGGCTCTTGCTGTCCTTGGCTGGGGTGGAAGGCCAGTTGTCTGCAGGGGGTGAAGAAGAGCTGGGGGAGCTCAGTGCTCCTTTGGGGAGCTCAGCGGTGCGGCTGATGCTGTGACCTGGGCAGTGTTTGGGGCAGGACCAGCACATGGCAAGCACAGGGTGGGGAGGGTGGGTGTAGGGGGAAGCATTGCTCTGTGAACCTCCATCAGTCTGAGGCTTTAGCACATCCTGAACTGAGAGCAGCATTTTGTGTTGAGTATCCCTTAATGGATTTTTTTTTTTTAATGTGACTTTGCCTTATTGCTCAGTTGAGCACCTGCAGAGTTTTGGAGTTTGCAGTTCACTCTGACAAAATGTTCCAAAGCTTAATCCTGTTGAGTGAAAAACACCTCCTGTAATTGGTTTTAAATTTGCCACCTGCTATTTTATTTAATGCTTCTTAGCTCTTGTATTGAAATAGACAGCAAACAATTAGACCCAAATGTCCTCTTCAAGATGCTCCTGATTCTACAGAGCCCTTCCCCAAGCCTCCAGTCACCTCCCTTCCAGACTGGAGAGCCCTCTCTTGCACCATTCTTCCTTGCATGGTTATTTTAACCTTGACCTTGGTTTGTTTATTCATTGTTTATTTTGATTATTTTAACCTTGCTTTTGTTTATTTTGTTGGCTCTTTCCAAAGTCCCTCTAGTGCCCATAACAGTATGTGGAAGGTGACAGCATCTGTGGCTGAAGGCTGTCAGATCAAGACCTTTTCAGCTCAGAGGGAATAGTAAGTAACAGGGAAAGGAGAAAACAAAAACAAACCAAAACAAAAAGACAGAAACAAACCTGACAGGTAATGGGGACGAGCAAAGGCAAACTTCAGTTGCTAACTGTTTAAAACCTCCAAGCACAACTTTGGAGAGGATCAGACTGACCTTTGTAGCTAGTAAGAGGAAGGAAGTGGTGGACATAGGGAATTGGGACACCTGGGGGTCCTACGGGACAATGCAAAACAGACTGAGGGGAAGCGGCACGGGTGGGCAAAGGGGAGGGTGGAGACCGAGGAGAGGGGACACAGAAGGGGCTGACTTGCAGCCACACACTGGCTGTGCACCAGAGCTGGCAGCAGGATCCAGGCCAGAGCGCTGGCAGCAGCCCCACAGCAGCAGCCAGGGTGTGAGCTCCAGGCTGAAGGCTGTGCCAAGGTGTGCAATGGGAGCTGAGGGTCACAGCGAGAGAGCTGCCACCCTCGTGCTTTCTGTCCCAGCACCACTGTGCATGTCGTCCCCATCAGTGTGGCACAGCACCTGCACTGACAGAAATAATTTCTGGGATGAAAAATAGTCAGATATGGGAGAAATTTCTGAAAAGACTTAATGTATGTTCCTGAAATATTTTCTTGAGCGTTCCCTTCACGGCTCAAAGCCAGCTGTATGATCCCTGCCCTCATGAAGAGTTCTTTCAGAATTGTGCTTGAGTGAACTCTGGCTTACAGGCATACAGGGAAACAGGCAGAAACAACATTTTGTGTATGCTAGAATCCTTTCTAGACTGATCATTCGCTCATATGCTCTCTGACAGCTACCGTGGCCTGTATTGAACCCAGCAGCTTGTTTTTCTCCAAAGCATCTTCCAAAAAGTCATTCAGTCAAATTCTATGCAACTCAAAAGCTGAAGAATGCTGCATGTTCCTCATGTTTTCACCAGCTTCTTCCAGCGGTTACCCATCACTGCTGCTTTCTGGCGTCTGCCCTGAAATCTGCCACTGTGCTGGAGGCAGGCAAGAAGCAAACACACCTGGAGAAATCCCTGCTGGCAGGGCTGGCCTTGGTCTCAGAAGTGTAGGTGGTGAGCTGCCGGCCTGGTCTCAACAGCATGGGTATAAATATAAAACAAAATTAAGGGGCTGCTGCACTTCCAGAGTAGCATGATGTGAGCAAGCGGTGTGTTTGGGTTAAGCCTGTCTTTGTGATGACCTGCATGAAGAAAACAACTTGACCATTGTGAAGAGAATGAGGGAAATTTATGACTGAGACTAGATATAAAAAAACAACAAACACAATATTTATTTTCCCCTGAGCCCTCTCATCCTTGCTTCACACTGTTCTGCCTGAAAGCAACTTCTGCAGAGACACCCCTGACTTGGGATGCACGAGACAGCTCAGGCACTGCTGCATGTCCAGCCCTGACACAGCACCACTTGCAGGTGCCAGATGCCCATGTGCTCCTAGCATCTCGGGAGGCACCCTCTGCCTGCACTGAGCCACGTGCCATCACAAACTGCCAAA